ATATAAGTGTGTATGTGTATATGTGCGTAGGTGTTACATTTATTTGTTGTTATTGTATATATATATATATATATATATATATATATGCATAAGTGTATATAGGTGTATGTGTATATGTGTATATGCGTATATGTGTAGTTGTGTTTATGTATATATATGTGTGAGTATGTATATTTGTTATGTGTTTATGTGTGTGTAGATGTGTATGTGTGTGAATGTGTGTATGTGTTTTTGTATATACGTGCTTAAGTACATATGTGTATATATGTATATAAGTATATGCGTGTGTGTCATCAGTTTTGTTTTCTCGTACATTTTGAGCAGTGATGTATGTTTGTTATTTGTATTTCGTTAAGTGTGCTTGGACAGTTTACAATTTGTGTAACTAATTAACTCTTGCAAGTCATTTTGTGTAAACGGTTTAGCCTTCCTTAAACTCTAAAACCCTAAACCTTGTAAACCAGTGTGTTGGAAAGGAGAATGTTCTGATGTCAAGTGCTTACAAGAACATTGACAGTTTTTACGACACTTAGTAAAGCCATGCCCATCTACCTTCGATGACTAGGGTTTAGGGTGTATTAAACCCTAGAATCCAAAACCTGTAAATCTTGTAAGCCTGTGTGTTCATAGCGATATGTTAAGTCGCTAAAAGAATGTTGACAGTTGGTATTACATTCCTTGTCCCAATTATTGTTACAATAACACTTTTTTATAATACTATTTCTAATTATGGTATGAGTCACTCTATTATGTATATCCGATTATGATATTAATCACTTTATGTATCTCCAATTCCAATTGTAGTATTAATCACTTTATGTAATTCCAATTCCAATTATGGTATCAATCAATTTATGTAATTCCAATTCCAATTCCAATTCCAATTATGGTATTATGGAATTCTAATTTCAATCCTGTGAATATTCACTCTGGTAGGTAATTCTAATTCCAATTATGGTACCAATTACTCTTGTCTGTAGTGCTGGTGCCACATGGCTGCTGCCATTCGACGGCAACTGCTTCATGACCAAAGGCTCGTGGGACGGCATCAAGGAAGGCTTCAAGAAACACGTATGGTTGTGATTTACATACATGTGTGTGGGTGGGTGTGTGGAAGGCTTCAAAAAACACGTATGGTTGTGATTTACATGTGTGTGTGTGTGGGTGTGTGGAAGGCTTTAAGAAACACGTATGGTTGTGATTTACATGTGTGTGTGTGGTGTTGTAAGGAAGGCTTCAAGAAATACGTATGGTTGCGATTTACAAGTGTGTGTGGGTGTGTGTGGAAGGTTTCAAGAAACGTGTATGGGTCGGACATACATGTTTGTGTGTGTGTCTGTATAGGAAAAACATGTGTGGCGTGGAAGGCTTCAGGAAACACGTGGTTGGGATATGCATGCATGTATGTGTGTGTGTGTGGGTGTGTATATAAGTATAGTCGTAGCTGTATACGTTTGTACATTGCCACAGATGTTCCTTTTGAGTTTCATCGTGATTCTCCATTGGTAATTTTCTCTGTGTTGTTCATAGTCCGCTTATCTATCACTTAAATATCAGCTGTTGCGTGTCCGTGTGGGATGGAGTATGTGCTGCTGAGTATTGTACAAATCTGATACTGAGCCACGCGCATCATACGGTACAACACACAACACCACACTGTGCATATTATATATATATATATACACACACACACACACACACACACACATATATATATATATATATACAACACAGTCGCACAACCCATCCACACGCTGCCCTTGTCATACGTACCTTGCACACAATACACTACTATCTAACACTCACCTGCCACCCCATTGCTCATGGCGCAGGGCTGTGACACTCGCTATATCACTGTGCCTATGGCTCGGTTACAAAGCAATGACCGCCTACTCGATGCCGACTTCGCCCCAGAGGTAAGCGAACGTTTATTTCGATGGGGTTGTGGCTGTTCGGATACAAGCGTTATACGTATTACCGAAGATATATTTTCGGTTTGTTTGTGGCTATGCGAAATACAAACGTTATACGTATTCTCGGCTGCGGTGGTAGTCAATGTGTGGAGTCGTATGAGCCTCACTTATCGAGGTGTGTACCAGTAATATTGAACGCCAATCAGTACGTTTCAAGTGGATGGGTAGGTATCTACCCACCACCCATAACGCGCATGCCTCCTTCGCGTATGTGACAGTGTACTGTGGCTACTGTGTAGGGTCTTATTCCAGGTATGTTATGGTGTTTTATAGGCCTACTACAGGTGTAAGAGAATCATGCAATCACTGCTAGTTGGTTGCGTAAGTCATCATTATCAGCAGGAAACGACTTACATATCCGTATTCTGGTTCTCAGCCTGTAGCACCCGTACAGGCCAGATCGTATGACAAAACGTACTGTTGTGCACGCATACGTTTACAAGCGAAGTAGTAGTGCACGTTATATACTATTGATTCAAAGATATTTCTTTATCGGCTTATTTGTTTTACAATCATATTATGTATGTTCACAAACATTGCGCTCTATATGTGACTTTAATCGCATACCACGTATATTACGTATATTACGTAAATAACGTACATTACCTATATTATTTATATTACGTATGTCACGTATTATGTATACTACGTATATCACGTATATCGCGTATATTATGTGTATTACGCGTGTTCCGAATATTCACGTATATTATGTATATTACGTATATCACGTATATCACTCATATTATCTTTATTGCGTATATTACGTATATCACGTATGTTACGTATATTACGAATATTACGTATATTGCGTATATTACGAATGTCAAGTATTATTGTATATGATGTGTCTTACGGATATTAAGTAAATCACGCCTATTACGTACCAACGTATATCACGTCTCTAGGCAACGGAAGAGCCGCAGATCATCTTCCGACACGACGCAAAGGAACGCTTTAATGTGATGATGCGCTATGGCAGACGCCCAAAGGTGGAGTTGCTATGGCGACTAAAGGTACGTTCATGGCTGCGAAAAAGGCGTTGTTTTATAAATGGATTATGTTGTGGATAAGTTTGGGTGTTTTGTATTCTAATGGGCTATTATGTGAATTAATGGTTATATATATATATATGCACACACACACACACACACACACACACACACATATATATATATACATCGTTGGTATTGGTCATAATGTACAACAGATACATTCTCCAGACAACACCATTTAAACTGTTGTATTCTGTGTAGTCATAAGTCCCCATGTGGTGTGGTTGTATGTGAGCATTTCATGTGTGGATTATCATCAGCTCTTTGGTGCAGATGAATCGTGTGTTTGTTAGTTGCATAGTCACATCGATAGCATTTGTTTGGGCTTAGGTTGATTGACATTGCGCTTCATTCGAGTCCTTTGACCGCTGCTTGTCATGTACTACGCCTTCCCATGTGATGCTTCTTTTGTCTTTTTTGGTCTTATCTTGGTCTGATTTTGGACATATTTTGGACATACTTTGGGTAGATTTTGATCATATTTTGATCATATTTTGGTCATCCTTGGGTGCACGCTTATTTTGTCTTGTATGAATCTTCTGCTACTCTGGTTTCGTAATATTCTTCCTCCGTTCTACACGCTTGTATCGTGCTACGCTGACTTCGGTTCATGTTTATTGTATTAGAGCTTATCCTCCTCCTTCACAACTGTTATATTTATAGGTTGCCCATTATGTTCAACACCTGTTCTATATATAGGTTGCTCATTATGTTCAACACCTGTTCTATTTATAGGTTGCTTCTTCGGCATAACGCCTGTTCTATTTAAGGATTACTTGTTCTGCATAACGCCTGTTCTATTTAAAGATTACTTGTTCTGCATAACGCCCGTTCTATTTATAAATTACTTGTTCTGCATAGCGCGTGTTCTATTTATAGATCTGCTTATTCCGCACAACGCTTGTTCTATTTATAGGTTGCTGGTCCATGGGATCGGTGGCCGCAGTCAATCGGCCCGTGGGAGAAGAAGGAGTGGGAAGTCTCGGATGATGTGGGTGAGGGTGATCGGGCTGTGCCAAGTGCTGGCTGGATTCCCAGGTATATATACCTTGCTCGCATGTATTTGTATATTTGTATTAAACGGGGGGTTGCTTTTCTTAGTGTATTACTAAACTGAGTTTTTCATTTCTTCGTATAGTTTTAAACTGATGTTTTCTATGTGTTCTAAACTGAGTTTTTCTTTTTCTGTGTATATTGTTCAACTGGTGGGTCCTTTTCTTCGATCTTTAAACGTATAGGTAGGACGATCTCTACTTGTTCGCATATATATATATATAGCGGTTGTATGTGTATGATAATAGGATGAACGGTCCCTTGACAGCAACAGACATGCCAGTCCACAGGCACACACAATACACACACACACAATACACACACACACAATACACACACTCACACACACACACACTCTCTCTCACTCACACACACACACACACGCACACACACACACACACACACATACACACACACACACACACACACACACACACACACACACACACAC